CCTGAAAGCTTCGGTAAAGTCTGCTATTCACACAAATGTCCCCTGTGAGGAGTTATGGGGAGAATAAAGAGTTCCATGTTTAACTTAGAAAAAAAAAAGAAAAGCTGAGGGAGGTAAATTGAAAATTCAAACAGGGCCAGTGACTCTAAGCCAAGAAGAGTCTTGAGAAATTAAGTTAATTCCTAACCCCAAAATTCACTGAAGGCTCTAGGATGGCACTAGGCTTCCCATTGAATGTAGGGTAAAGGGCAAGAGTCAATTTTATTTAATTTCAAAATACAGGGTGACCCCAGATGTCATCGCAGTTACAATTGAAACAAAGAAAAAGCTTTATTCCTTATTACTGAGATTCTATCTACAGAAAGGAAAAGGATATTTCAATAGATTTCTATAACAAAATAATCATATCAAGAATATACCAAGTCTCTGGCAGTGTAGTGGTTACGAATCAGGCTGTGAACCACAAGGTCAGCAGTTCGAAACTACCAGCTGTTCTGCGGAAGAAAGATGAGGCTTTCTGCTCCCATAAAGATTTACAGCCTCGGAAACCCTGTACAGGGTCGCTATGAGTCGGAACTGACTCCATGGCACTTAACAACAACAACAACAACTTTAGATTTACTTCCTCATACTATTAATCTGACTAATCATTAAAGATGAAATTCAAATATCATTTCTTTCATAGGTCTTTTTTAATTCAATCTCAATGGATGCAATCTCTCTTCCTTATATATTGTGTGCTCCTTTATATGTTGTGTAGTTGTTAAGTGCCATCAAGTTGGTTCCAACTCATAGTGATCCTGTGTAGGGTTTCCGAGGAGTGGCTGATGAGCTTCAACTGCTGACCTTACGGTTCAAACTGACCTTGCAGTCCAGTGCATTAACCCACAGCACCACAGTAGGACTCCACCCCTTTATATAGCACTTATTTTTTTAAAAATTTTTATATTTAAATATGGGCATCTACTACATGACAAGAACATTCATTACCTCATTTAATCTTTACAGTAACTCTATAAAGTATATATTTGTCCCTTCGACAAATAAGAAAATGGACTTCAACAGATGGAGAATAGATAAATTTTCCACGAATTCCAAGTAATTTACGTAGATACTCCTCCCTCAAGGTTGTTGTTGTTAAGCATCATCGAGTGAGCTCCAACTCATGGTGACCCAGTGTAGGATTTCCGAGGAGCAGCTGATGGGTTTGAACTGCTGACCTTGCGGTTAACAGTCCAGGACTTATCTTACTGTGCCACACCAGGACTCCCCTTAAGGAGGAGGCATATCTTTAATTGCAACCCCACTCTTCCCAAAGAGTAAAAAATGCAAAGAGGGGAGAAAGAGTACAATTTGAGTGGAGAAACTGGACAAGCACCACCTCAGCCAGGTGATCATGATGAATTTTAACTGAGAAACGTGCCTGTGATATGATATGATTAAAATGGCACTTGACCTCTCTGTGCTTTCTCCAAAAACACATAACCTCAGTCTAATCATGAGAAAAGCCTCAGACAAACTCCAATCAAAGACATTGTACAAAAAAACGTGACCAGTAGTCTTCAAAAACTGTCAAGATCATTGAAAACAAGGAAATGTGAAAAACTGTCAGAGCCAGAGGAGTCTAAAATGAGACAAGACGAATAACTGTATCGTAGTATCTTGGTTGGTATTCTGGAACAGAAAAAGGACATTCATCAAAACTAGGAAATCTGAAAGTATGGACTTTACTCATGGATGGGCAACACACTCATATTGGTTCATAAATTGTAACAAATAAACTATATTAATGTAGACTGTCAATAATATGGAAAACTGGGTGTGGAGTAATTAGGAATGTTGTTGTTGTTGAGTGCCGTTGAGTTGATTCCAACCCATAGCGACCCTGTATAGGGTTTCCAAGGAGCAGTTGGTGAGCTTGAACCACTGAACTTGCAGTTCAAATGACTTTGCAGTCTGATACATTAGCCCACAGCGCCACACCGGGACTCCAATTGGGAATACTATGCACTATATTAAAATTTTTTCTAAAATGGTTTTAAAATTAAAACTTTGTTTTTTAAAAAGGTAAGTCATTTACCTAAACTCACATAGCTAGTAAATGCCCAAATTCAGAGACTTACTAAGATGACTTCAGGTCCTATGCTTTCTCCACTACACAAAGATCTTTTAATCTTACTCTCTCTAGAATTATATATAAATATTATTATATAAATATTTGTATAACTAAATGATAAGCTCCTTAAAGCAGAGAAAATATGCTTCTCTCTCTTTTTTTTATTTATTGTGAACTGAGTGATAGTTTACATGGGAGAACATCATCTTTACACCATCGTTTAATTGCAATGATTACAATCTCCTCCGTGTATCACCATTCAACAGTATTTGCTTCCATTCCCTGTTTTTCTTTTTTTTTTGGGGGGGGGGGCGGTGGGTAGATATACACAAAACCACTCAGGAATATATAATAATTTAAACCAAAGTGCACATTCTGCAAGCCTGCCCCTGGCTGCCAGCACTCAGTCCCTTTCTTTCCATGAGTCTAGAGTCTTCAGCTGCTACCTTTCTCCACATCGTCATCTCTGCCTCCATCTCTGGTCTCACTGCTTCTCTGGATAGGGTTCCGCATTCCGCTTGTGCTCTTCTCCCCTGATGGTCCTAGGGTCCTCTGTTTCAGGACTGTAAGATTAATTTGTTATTATTGTTATGTGTCGTGGAGTCGGTTCCAACTCATAGCGACCCTGTACAGGGTTTCTGAAACTGTAAATCTTTACGGAAGCAGAAAGCCTCATCTTTCTCCTGCTGAGGTTAGCAGCCCGATTCATAACAAGGTTAATTACTCCCTTATTTTTGTTACAAAATATCTACCTTTACAGTTGTGACAGTCGCAATTAGTCATGATAATAATTACTCACCACTGAATCATAAAAATCCTATCCCCATCTTTTTTCACCACACTCGTCTAGACACGATAAAAAACTATTCAGTGGTAACTCTATCTTCCCCCATCCTGCACAAACTAAACTCCCTCTTGAAAACTTGTAAGCCAGTCACTCCGTGCCTTTATCAACCTCTCATTTTAGGTACCCAATATCAAGCTGTCTGTCCCTATCTACCCTGTATACAGAGGGGATAGGATTGATGCTTGATACGAGGACTCTTTCCTTTTCTGTTGGTATTCTGAGCTACTACATCCATGAGTATAGGTCAAGTTCATCAAATTGTAGCAATTTATGCAAATTTCCTTTATCAAAAATTGTTTGTTTGTTCGTTTGTTTTTAATCTTCCTCTAGTCCAGTTCTGATTATCAACCCATGCAGGCTAGGTCAAATGTGTACTATCTGCAAGTTCGGGTGTTCTTGTACGTCTCCCCTCACTTCATATCGTGCTTCTCTTTTTCCTTTCATTTTTGGGCCTAGCACACAATTGGTGTTCAGTATCCAGCTTAATTTAGTTATAGAAAGTCACAGAGATCTAAAGAACCTGAGACTTTTAGAGACCTTTACATTGTGCAGTCGTACTTGATGCGGTTCTTTCTTTGAGGGCCAAAGCTCACGTATTCACTCAGTTCTATAAGGGTCCTGTGCTGCCACCTGCCGGCAGCTAGGAGGCAGTGGCCTCTCCTGTTGTATCTCCGGACCAAGAAAGGTAGGGAGACTCAGGAAAGAAGAGGACTCAGGCGCTAATTAAATTACAGAGCATATGAAATTGTCAAATAGTTAACTCGAAACCTGTTTAAAAGTCTAACGTTTCTCCGGCATTGAAAGCTCTCTTAACCCCCGTATTAACACTGGTGGTGGTTTTGTGCTGTGGAGTTGATTCAGACTCCTTAGCAACCCTGTGTAGGGTTTCAAGGCTGTGGATCTTTACGGGAGCGGAAAGCCTCATCCTTCTCCCTCGGAGCAGTTAGTAGATTCGAACTGCTGACCTTGCAGTTAGCAGCCTAACTCGTAACCCACTACACTTCCAGAGCTCCTTGTATTAACACTGTTGTTGTTAAGTGTCGTCGACCCATAGCGACCCTGCATAGGGTTTTCAAGGAGCAGCTGGTGAGCTTGAAACACTGACCTTGCAGTTCAAACGACTTTGCAGTCTGACGCATTAGCCATACCTAAGGCTCCTAAAGTGCACCGACATCCTCGCTGCACATCTCACAAAACCCAAACACATCCGCACAACGTAGGCAGCAGAAACGGCTCAACCTCGCAAACCTGAGACCCCATCGCTCAGATCATTTTCATAGACCTCTGAGACTCTTTGCACTACCTTGCAAACCCCATAGATTTCTCCCACGAGGGAATGAGTGCTAAGCCAGGCGCCCCCACTAAAAGTCTCAAGTTCCGCAGACACCTTGCACCAGTGCAAAAGCCTCGAGGAGCTAATAAATGTCCTCAAATTTGAGCTTCGGCCGGGCTCTTGCTTCCCACCTCCGCCAGGATCTGGTCAGTCTAGGCATGGCCCCAGTCGGCAGAGGCACCGCCCCTCTAGACCTGTCATCACAGAAGCTGCACGTGGCCGGGTGGGACCTCAGTCAACCTGCAGCCATCACTTTGTCTCCTCTGCCATCCATTGGAGCCGCCGCTGCCAATCAGAGGCAGTGGATCGGGGCTGGAGCGCAAGCGCCTGGGTGAGGCGAGCAGAGGAACGGGTGTGGGTATGAGAGGCTCGCAGAGGGGAGGGGGCTTGTGGTGGAAGCCAGCAAGGCACCGGTTCTTCCAGGGTTGATTCTAAGTGGGTGGGTCCTGGGAATAGGCGGAGAGACCAAAAGGGGGCGGAGAGCAGGGCTGGGGTCAGGGGCTAGCGGAGGATCCTTGGGGAAAGCAGAGACGAGGAGGAGGCGGAGCCACGGCCACAGAGGGGAGGGGCCTGGGCTACAAAGTGCCAGCCCAAGGAATTAAAGAAGCGAGGAAAGGGGACGAGCTGGGGGTGAAGGTGGGAGTTGGAACAAGGGAGAGGGTGGGCCCGGGAGGGGCGGGGCGGGGCTCGGGCCAAAGGGGCGAGGTTTGCAGGCCGAGGCTGCAGCTACGGCTGCTCAGTAACTGCCCCAATCCACTACTACCCCAGGTGCCACGGGACTCACGGAACGACAGGTGTGGGGGAGGTGCGCGTAGAAAAAGAAACAAGGATGGGGGCGCGTTTTGGGTGGACATGAAAGGATGGGGGGCACAGTTAGGAAAAAGAAGATCTGGAGTGTGTTACAGGGGAAAAAAAGAGTTGGAGGTTCAGTGTGCGGACAAGGAGGTGCAATTTCCAGGGGCCCTGTGGGGGAAGGGCGGGAGTGGTACAATGTGAGGGGGCGGGGTCGCTGTCTGATTTGTAGAGTTGGAGGAGATACTTGAAAGGGAAGATCTGGAGGCGCTTTGGAGAGAAGTGGGAGCTGAGTGATGCAGAAGGGTTGGTGGGACAGATCGGACTATGTGGAGGAAGACGTCCTATGTGAAGACGCTCAATGGGCAGTGTGTGAGGAGAAAGGGTTTGGGGATCCAGTTGTAGGGGAGAATCGCTGGTGATTTGAGACGTAATAGTCTGGGGACATGCATAGAACTCCCGGAAGATGTTTGTGTATTATTTTATACGAGTGAGGGTAATGGAATTAGCAGGGTGAAGAAGCTAGTCTGTAGTGCTTCTGGCTTCTCAGACAGCTCCCAACTTCACTTTTGGCCTGACCATTTGCGCTAGGACTTGTCTAACAGTGTTCTCAGTCAGCTTTGATTCTGTTGCGCTGAGATTGGGGTCTCTTCCCCAACTGGTGTTCTTAGGGACACTTCCCCCACTTGGTTCCTGTTAACCCCCCTATCTTAGTTCCTGTTCCTCCCAGAAGCCTGCCCTGGTCACTGTTCCCCTCCCCACCCCTCCCTTATGCTCTGGGTGTGCTCATTTCCCACTTCCTTCCTTGCCCTGGGGCCTGGCCTGGTCTTTGCCTGCCTAGGAACTGTTCCCTGCCTGGACTCTGTACTCAGTAGCCGGAGACCCTGGTTATCAGCAACAAGATCCAGACCCCACCCCCACTACACTCACCAAGATCTCTCCTAATAGACCTCCAAGTGATTGGTAGCCACTTTGTTACCACTTGCCCCAACTGATTTGTTCCACCTTTATCTCTCCCCTGGGTGAGGAGCCCTACCTTCAGCTCTATCCAACTCATAGAGCCCCTGTAGGCACCCATGGGGTTTCCAAGACTGTAGATCTTAACCATGCTTAACCCATTGTGCTACCAGAGCTCCTTCAGGAACCCTCTTGTTGCTATTAATTGCTGTCGAGTTAGTTCCAGCTCATAGCCACCCTGTATGTGGTTTCCAAGAAGAAGCTGGTAGGTTTGAACTGCTGACTTTGTACAATGTTAGCAGTCCAGTGCTTATCCTATAACACCACACCAGGACTCCTGAGGAATGCTAGGGCCCTCAAAATTATTGGGTTTCTGTGAGAGGGTGAGTGGGGAAAAACGTCTTTGGGTTTTGATCAGTGTTTTAAGAAGTGGGTGTGTCACTATTGTAAGTTGCACCCAGGAACGGATGTGAGGTTCCAGTGGGGGGGAGGGAGTGGTGTGGCTTGAAAGCTGTCAGATCTGAGACTAGGGCCTATTTCTTTTGTGGACGTCTGTGACTTTCTAAGGGGATTTGATATAGTGCCAGAGTTCTCTTTGCCCCTGAGCTGGCTGGGAGATTCTGGTGAGAAAGGCTCTGCCTTCCACACAGTGGCTGAATGAGTGTGACAATGTTGATGAGAGGGGCCCCAAGACAGCCTCTTCACACAACCAACCGGTAGCTAAGAGACTGGCTGGGAAGGGGGTGGGGGGAGGTATTGAGGCCAAACAAAGCAGCGGGCCAGGGTGGGGTAAAGGAGAGCCTTTTGAGGAGGAGCTGATTGCTATGGCAACACTGCTTCCCAGATTGTCTCTCAGAGAAGGCAGGCCTAGGGCACACTCTGTACTGCTTCTTTAGGACTGGGCAGCTTCCTTAGGGCAGTTGAGAGAGAGTGGGTGGGACTCGGAAAGAAAGGGCAGCAGTTTGCTCTGCTGAGGCAGTAGTTACAAAGTCTTTCTGCACAATATAAGCTACAGGGCATTCAGATGTCTGGGGCCATCCTCTGAAAATGGATATGAGTGAACCGCAGTCTTTAGAATTATAGCTATAAAAGGCCAGAGTTGCAGAGGCCCTCTGTTGTCAACATTTTTGCAAACCCTTTATTTTACAGATTTGAAGATTTAGGACCAGAGAGACTATGATTTTCCCAAGGTTTCACACTGGAAGAGCAAGAGTGTCTTAGTTATCTAGTACTGTTATAAAAGAAATACCACAAGTGAATGGCTTTAACAAATTTATTTTCTCACAGTTTAGGAGGGTAGAAGTATGCATTTAAGACACTGGCTCTAGGGGAAGGGAAGGCTTTGTTTCTTTGAGCTTCTGCTCCTAGGCTATCTTCATCTGGCTTGGGGCATCTCTCTTCCCCCCATCTCTGCTTACTCACTTGCTTGTGTAATCTCTTTTATATCTCAAAAGATATTGACTCAAGATATGCCCTACATTGTTCTTGCCTCAGTGACAAAATAAAGACCACCCATTCTCAATTGGAGTCCTGGTGTGGCACTGCAGGATAATGTGCTGGATCACACAGTCAGTTTGAACCACAAGGTCAGCAGTTCAAAACCACCAGCTGCTCCTTGGAAACCCTATTCAGGGTCTATATGGGTTGGAACTGACTCAGTGGCACTTAACAATAACATTCTCAATTAGGATTATAACCACAAGCATAGAAATTAAGATTTACAACACGGATTTTAGGAGGACATGACAGAGTTAGGACCCAGTTATCCTGATAACTTTGTTTATTTAGCTCAAGACTACTTGTCTCTTTCAACCTGTGTTTATAGAATACCTATTAAGTGCTGATAACTGATAATGACTCTGGGAATACTGGCATGTATGAACCAGACAAAGTTGCTGCTTCATGGAGGAGCATGTTGTAATGGAGTCTGTATCTGTGTGTATGTAAAAAAGAAGGGAAGAGCTTAGAGAATCTAGATAATGTCTCTTGATTGTATAGGCTGCTTTCTCAGGACATACTGAGGCTTGAAACATGTTTGATTCTTCCTCCTGAACTGTTGCTCTCTAACCTTTGTAGATAACTAAGGCCTGGGTCTATGCTACTGCCATCGAGTTGGTTCTGACTCACACAACCCTATACTTGGTTTCCAAGACTCAGTCTGTAAGGGAGTCAATAGTTTTAGCCTTCTGCCATGCACTGGCTGGTGGATTTGAAATGCCAACTTTGCAGTTTGCAGCCCAGTGCCTAACCTATAGTATCACCAGGTTCTTTAGGGCCTGTGCTGTTGTTGTTAAGTGTTGTTGAGTTGGTTCTGACTCATAGCTACTCTGTGTAAGGTTTCCAGGAGTCCTGGTGTAGGCTGCAGGATAATGCACTGGACCGGAAGGTCAGTTTAAACGGCCGACCTTCTAGGAAACCCTATACCGGGTTGCTATGAGTCAGAATCGACTTAACAGCACTTAACAACAGCAACAACATTGGGCTTCCAAGAAGTGGATGGTGGTTTTGAACTTCCAACCTTGCAGTTAGCAGTCCAGTGCTTATACTAAGTGCCACACCAGGACCCCTGTGCTAGTAGCAGTAAAACAGAACAAGGTGGATTCACCACAGGATTCTTTCTTTCATCCAGTGTTCTGTGTCTCTACCCAGTAAGGCAAGTCAGCTCTTACATTGGTACCCTGCAATTTTGTCCAGGGTGTTGAAAATTATCTTAATCTGTTTCTTAACATCAGGGAGCCAGCAAGAAAGTCAGTCCAAGGCAACTGGGGATTTTTTTTTTCAGTTTTTTTTCCCTCACGGGTCTAATAGGTAAGGAGAAAGCCTAGAACTGTTTCTTGCTTGTCCTCCTAGGTCTAGGGCACCAGGAGGAAGTAAGTGAAGAGAGCCTTCAGGACCTTTAGGTTTCATAGTAGAGACAAGGCTGAAACAGGGACCTGGAGCCTTCTGGAACCTCTCAGCTGTAAAAGACTGGACTTCCCTTCAGAAAGGAGCCTGCCCCAGCTGACACCAATTCTCCAAGGTCTCAGTTTGAGTCTTCCCTCTTTTGGCTGCAGTATTTGTCTCCTGCTTTTGTGGAAATCTGGAGGAAAAAGTCTTCTAACTTTCAAACTTTCTGATTTGCCAACAGATGCAGAGGGTAAGGTTGAAGGGCTGTTTTCTTACGATGCCCTTTGAGCAACCTCTCTTAAAAAAAAAGTGTCTGAATGCCCAATTTGATGGTTCTTTTTAAAAACAGAGGACAAGGGTTAGGGATGTTGGTTCTGTTGCTGCTTAATTCCGTTGGGTCTAGGCTGGGCCTGGACCCCTGGTGTGGCGCTGTAGGATCAGCATTGGATTAAGAACCAAAGTCAGCAGTTCAAACCCACCAGCTGCTCCTTGCACAGGAAACCTTGCACAGGGTCGCTGTGAGTTGGAACCTACTTGAGGACATTTAACAAGGCTGGGCCTAGGGCCTTATGACTCAGGGAGAATGTGGGGAGTTTCAGGAGAGTTGTGAGTCATGGGGGGTTGAGCTTCACCCTGAGAGTTGGGCACATTTCCCCACTCTGGTCAGAAGTCCTCATATCCTTTCTCTCCTGGAAATCTTGTTTCTTTGAAAGAAGAAATCCTTCTGGTGGAAAGGATTTGAATGAGAATTCAAAGACACTGAGCATGATATCTGGGTTCCTGGATTAAAATGTATCCCTATCTCAGGAGCCCATGGGGCAAATAAAAGCCAAAGAACATATATATGGAGAAAGAGAAATAGAATACCACTTCCAACATACAGTAAGTAAGTTTTAAGTGCTATCAAGTTGTTTCAGACTCATCGTGTTCCTGTATAGGGTTTCCAAGGAGCGCTAGTGGGTTTGAACCGCAGAACTTGTGGTTACCAGTCTAGTGTTTATCCTATAGCGCCATAAAAGACATTTTTCATTATTTCTGCATGAAGGAAGCCTCCTGGGCTCCAACAATTCGACGGTCTTTAGAACACTGGTTAGAAAGTGGGGAAAGATGAATGGAAGTGGGGAGTATTTTGGGTCTGATGTAAAAAAAGATTTTAACTTTGGGACTGTCGACCTCCTGTGAAAGCCTTGAGACTTCCTATTAAGCTGTCCTGGGAGAGGAAGGGCGGGGTGAGAAGTGGCAGAGCTGAGAGTTGATTTGGATTTAAGCAGTTGAGGGGTTAAGGAGATGGGCAGGGAAACCCCAGTAAACCGGCCCCCTCGTGGACCAATGGACGTGCGTGTCTTGGAGAGGGCGTGCTTCACCCTTGAGGTCGCCAGGGGCTGGCCTCTTGTAGACCAATGAGTTAGGCCGCTTCTCATGGTGGGCGTGCCCTGATGAAGGGGGAGTGGCAGTCGCGACCGCCGCGGTAGGGCGGTAGGGCGGTAGGGCGGTGGGGCGCTGGGCGGGGCGGGCGGCCCCATCAGCTGGTAGGAAATGGCCTGTGAGTCAGAGGGGCAGCGGAGTCGGCAGCGCGGAGCCGGGCCGGCCCCGGGGAGGGACCGTCGCGGGGAGGGGCGCGGCAGTGGCTGGGGGCCTGCGGGCGCCGGGGCCCGCTAGTGTTGTACACGAAGCTCAGCAAAGAAGGACCTGGCAGAGCAGGGCTAAGCCTGAGCTACCCTTTGTCTGGGTTGGGGGCCCGTGGAGGGGAGAATCAGGGATCCGAGGGGAGGGACTGGGACAGGACGGAAGGCCCCGGCCAGGAGCAGCAGCCGTCGCGGTGGAGCCAATTTGGGAGTGGGGTGAGTGTGTGCTAGGGGAAAAGAGCAAATATCCGAAGCCCCAGTAGGGAATGGGCCCTGCCCCAGGCTTTGGGAAGGGCAGGGGTGCGCATGCTTTGGGAAGGGCAAGGGTGAGCAAAGACCTGGAAGGCTGAGCAGGGGCTGAAGGATTGTCCAGAACCAGAAATCCAGGAGCCGGAGTGAGTCAGCTGGGATCAGTTTGAAGGAGTTAATGAGGTTTGTTCCTTTTGCACTGAAGGTGGAGGACTCTAGTTCAGTGGCCAAGGGGTTGGTGAGAGAGCAGAGGTTAACTCTCCTGTGAACCGTGGTGGTCCGTGGGAACAGCCTTCCTAGCTTGTGTGGATGAGTGTGTGTAGAGACAAAATGTAGAGCAGCTGGAAGCAGTTCTCTTTGAACAGGCTGAGGGTGGAAAACACATGCATAGGAATTCTTCCGGTCACCCTCCTTGGTCAAGATAGAAATGGCTCTCTTTAATACTGAAGGAAAGGGGAAATGAGCCTGGGAGCTAGTACCTGTACCAACACCCACCCACCCACCCCACCTCCCAGGCCTAGCAGGTGTCTGAGGGTACAGATCCTACGGTATTCTGGGATTTGTTGTTTTTTCTGGCCCTGTTTCCTTGGCATGTTGGGAGGTGTAGTCCTTGCCAGACACAGCCTGGCACAGCTGTTTGACGCCAGCTGCTGCCCACCCCCTGCACAGAGGGTGAGGTTCAGCCTACCCCACCCCCTCTGCAGTCCTGCCCCATGAGTCAGCTTGAAGCCATGGTCTAGAGCCAAACTGGCTGGGAAGTAAGTCTTAGAGCGTCTCCTTGAAGGGGCGGGAATTGAGAGGGCTCTGGAGTAATGAGCAGGTGCCAGGCATGCTGGGGTCAAGTAGGGCATCATGTCATCACCTGGCTTCCCCATGGCAAGAATTCTAGAGGCCAGCAGGGATGACCTGGAGGTGAGACTGTTGAGGAATCTGAATGACTTGGGTAAAGGAAAGGTGTGGTTAAGGTGAGTGCACGTTGTCTTCTCTGACTGTGTCCTGCTCTTTGCAGCCATTCTACTCACCACAGGGATTCTAAACCCAGATTTTCATAGGTGATCTCAGTTCTAATGAGAACTTGGTAAAATTAGATGGTTAGATACAATGATGGGAACCTTATGTAGAAGAGCTTTTTACTCCCTGAATACAAATAATCCCCTTCCTCCCTGCTACCCCCACCTCTGTTATTACTGGTTCTCCCTTACAATTAAACCCTAGGCCTTTTTCATCAGGGAGTCTGTCTTTGCACTGTCAGAACTACTACCCAGATCTCTAAGTCTTGCACTCCACTTTTTGAAGCCCTGTTAAATACTTGGAGTTGGGTGGATTAAGGGGAGCACAGACATATCCTCAAGAACCCTATAGCCAGACTAAGAGATGCCTTTCCAACAAGAGCAAGCAGAACTGCCACTAAGTTACAGGAAGTAGTGACACTGAGGTCTCAGGAAAGAAAGATATCTATGGACTGGGGTGACCAAATAAGACTTTCTGGAGGGAAGGCATTTGATCCAACCTCGGAGGAAGGATAGGACTTGGTTAGGCATATAGGGCTTTCTTTGAAAGAGAAAGAGCATTGTAGATGACAGGTAGCTCAGGATACTGCCCAAAGGAGAACCCTGACCCTTGGGAGCAGTATTTCCTCTCATAGCAGAAGTTGACATGGGATTCTGAGGGTGGACTAGTCAGTGAAGTCTATCTTGTGCACAAGCAGAAAAGAAGTGAAGAAGTGGTTTGGATGTTGGGTGAGTGAGCATTGGGGTGGGGGTGGGAGGGTGGTGGAGAGGTGCTTCCAGCTGCCTGCCTTATCTCTAGTTTACAGGGCCTGGGGGTGGGGCAGTGCCTTCTAGCAATGCCTCCTTTTCCAAACATGTTTTCAGTTGGATATATTGCATCCTGTTAAAGGAACCGACTGCTGTGGACAAATAGGAGTTCAAAGATGAAAGGCCAGCTTTGAGCTGACCTGGGGTTTGTACCTCTGACAATTTCTGATGGGGTGTGAGTGTCTTCAGGGTCTCTGCCCTAAGACTCTGGGATGACGTTTGTCCTTTGGAGATAGACAAATAGAAAGGAGTTTCATAACTCAGTGGCCTTAAGTGGGAGAACGGAATTTTTGCCTTGGCCACCTTTCAGCTGGGCATAGTCTCCTGGATCTTAGGGTATCTCATCCCCCCTACCACCCAAGGAAGAAGTCCCCATAATGGTGACCCTGACAAGTGGCCATCCTGCCTGAATTCACTTCTCACATCCTTATTACTTGGAGCCCAGTCTTGCCTTTGAGTTCCTCCACAGGTAGTCCAGCTATGTTGTCTGGGCCCTAGGCACCAAGCCTGCCACATCTGAAAAGTTTCTGAAAAGTGTAACTGGAGGAAGATGTCCCAGAGCATATTAGCCTGTATTAGCCCACAACTGGAGAGGATCCTGACCAGAACCTCCAGGAAGCCTGGCTTATTTTATTTGTTCTCCTCTCCACTCAGGGCCCTGCTGAGCCCAGGAGCTGCACGGAATGGTGGCAGTCATCTTGCCAGTGCAGCGGGCATGGACCAGACTGGAAGCTAGGGGAGCAAGACATCAGTCAAGAGGGAACACACAGCTAGGCTTGAGGCCTCTTCATCGGGGTAAGTGCCAAGAAAAGAAAAGGGTGAGCAGATCCAGTGGGAAACCCAAGCTAAATAAGTTACCTCTCAAGAGTTCTAGGAGTGGCCTCTATATTATCTAGCAATTTGGATCCCTCCATGCCCAGGAATCCCTCAGGATAGTCTCTTTAGGCAGGGGAGGGTCTAGAACTAAGCTGAGATGAAGAAGATCCCTCAATTCCTCTGACTACCTTTTCTTTTCCTTTCTTGCACAGATGTCCCCAGGCCTCCCAGCTCATCCCCAGCATAAAGGCCGTGTGTGGGGGCCTCCCTGACCCAAGGGGGAGCTTCATGCGCCACGTGCAGACGGAGCCGTCTTCATCCTCAGAGCCAGAGGCTGGCCCTTCACAGCCTCCAGCCAGGCAGGGGGCCCTCCAGGGTGGCCTGCTCATGGGCTACAGCCCAGCAGGGGGGGCGACATCCCCCGGGGTCTACCAGGTATCCATCTTTTCCCCTCCGACTGGTGTCTCTGAGCCTCATAGGGCCCTGAAGCGGTCAGCCCCTCCCAGTGAGGGTCCCCGGGAGCTGAAGAGAGGCCCTGGGCTGGGGACCAGAGAGGGACTACCTCCTGAAGAACCATCTACTGTGGGGCTGTTAGGCTCCGAGGGACTGGGGCTGGGACTGGGCGTGGCCATCCAGCATTTCTCCCATCGAGGCCTCTGTGTTGTGGAACAGGGAGGTAGCTCCACCTCACCTTGGACTTCAGGGGCCCAGAGCCTCCCTTGGCCCCCATCAAATGCTTCCTGCAATACTTTGCACACCAGAGACTGGGCTTGCCCAGATCCAGGGGGACAGGGGTACCTGGGGGAGCCCTCGGGGCCAGCTCCAGGCCACCTGCATACACTTGACACTGATTTGCACAGTCTTGCACAAATAAGGGATAAAAGCCCAGTGGCTGGGGTGGACAATGGGAGCAGCCCCTGGCCCAGGGAGTCCCCTGGCACTGCCAATGGGCACAGTCCCGAGCACACACCCCCTGGCCCCGGACCTCCAGGCCCCTGCCCCACCAAGCGAAGGCTGCTTCCTTCTGGAGAAGCCCTAGATGTCAACTCTGAAGATGAGGGGCCAGCCCCTCGGAGACGCCGGGGAACCCTGGGCCACCTTCCTGCTGCCAACAGTTCTGATGCCAAAGCCACATCCTTCTGGAGCCATCTGCTGCCTGGGCCCAAGGACCCTGTGCTGGTAAGCCAGGTGTGGTGTACTTTTAAGATGATATCTGATGGGTTAAAAGTGGAGGCCTGGCTAGAATGTACCTGTGAGAGGTTATGAGCCCCTGCCCACACCTAGTCTCCACCCATCCTCTATTTTCTCTCCATAGGACCCAACAGACTGCAGTCCTGTAGGGCGAAGGCTTAAAGGTGCCCGTCGCCTGAAGCTGTAAGTGACCAGCTCTCCCTCTGCCCTATCACTGAGAATGGTAGCAAAAGTCTCTAATCCTCTTTCTATCCCTGGGGCAGGGACCACAGGGCAGGACCTAGGCAGTAGCAAAGGGTGGGGCCTAAGTACATAACCAGCATCTCAAGATATTTCAAGCTAACCCACTGTTTGTTGCCTCCCCTACCAGGAGCTCCCTTCGAAGCCTCCGGAAGGGGCCAGGCCTGCTGAGCCCACCCAGTGCCTCCCCTATTCTTATCCCCACTGTCAGCCGTACTCTGCTGGGAAACTTTGAGGTAGCTCTCCTGGACTTTGTGATTGATTGAGGGGTCCTGGGGAGAGGGGGATGGTAGATTTGTGATTGATTGAGGGGTCCTGGGGAGAGTGGGATGGTAGAGAGTGGCTTGGATGAATGAAGAAAAGAACCGGATTCCCTCTCCTATAATGCGTCTCTTCCCCCCCCACCCAATCTCAGGAATCATTGCTTCGAGGACGCTTTGCACCATCTGGCCACATTGAGGGCTTCACAGCAGAGATTGGAGCTAGTGGGTCCTACTGTCCCCAGCATGTCACGCTGCCTGTCACTGTCACCTTCTTTGATGTGTCTGAGCAAAATGCCCCGGCCCCCTTCCTGGTATGCCTTGACCCCCAACTCAAAGTCAGCTCATTAGCAGGATGAAGGGTTGAGGGCAGAGGATTCTGTAGATGTTCTTCATCTAGGAGAGTCAGGACTAGGTGGGGAGCGCTCAAGTATAGAAGAGGGGGCAGGTCCCTGGGTGAGAGATTGTGGAGAGGGTGAACATCCCCACCTTGGCTGATGGCTCCATGGCCTTCCCAGGGCGTCGTGGACCTGAACCCCCTGGGGAGGAAGGGTTACAGCGTGCCCAAGATGGGCACCATCCAAGTGGTGAGTTTGCTCTAAGGGACTGGGAGGTGGGGAGAGAGGAAAACAACCCTGAGGCCCTATCAACTTTACCTGTCCTGTCCCCAGACCTTATTTAACCCCAACCAGACTGTGGTGAAGATGTTCCTTGTGACCTTTGACTTCTCTGACATGCCTGCTGCCCACATGACCTTCCTGCGCCATCGCCTCTTTTTGGTGCCTGTGGGTGAGGAGGGAAGTGCTAGCCCCACCCGCCGCCTCCTCTGCTACTTGCTGCACCTCAGGTAAGGTCAGAGCCTACAGAAAACTCGGGAAGTCCAGGTATCTTTTGCCTGAATGGGCACTCTCCTTGCTTCTCTATTATCTTAATTCTTACCTTGACCACACTGTTTTCCTCCAGGTTCCGGAGCTCCCGCTCAGGTCGCTTAAGCCTGCATGGAGACATCCGTCTGCTTTTTTCCCGCCGGAGCCTGGAGCTGGACACAGGGCTACCCTATGAACTGCAGGCCGTGACGGAGGCCCCTCACAATCCACGTTATTCACCTTTGCTCTGATTGCCATGTGGGCTAAGGACTTGCCCATCGTATTCCATCCTAGACAGAAAAAACACGTGGAAAGGTGGCAAGACACCCTTCAGGCTTGAATTAAAGCTCTCGCCATGCCCAAATTGATTATTTGGGTATTTAAGCTTCTGATCCCTAGCACACCCTGCCGTACTCGGGGTACTCCTCATGCCTGTCCCCTCCCTTGGGTTTCCCAAACCAGCTTAGGTAGTGGGGAGGAACCAGAGCTATCCTGAGATTTTCCCATGTTCCCAGGCAAGTCAAGCCAGCGTTGCCTCCCTGTCCTGAGCAGGGACCACTTAGTACTTTATTTATTTTTATTTATAATTTATTCAAATTGGATTGCCTTGGTGACTCCCAAACCTGATCATTGGTATTGCCCCTGCTCCTTTCCCATGCCCGTACATTTCTCCACCCTCAGGAGCTGATGAGGCTGATGTGGAGTGGAGGAGAACTGCTCTCCTTCTGCTGAGGGCAGAGGGGTTATCCCAGAGGGACTGAGTTACTAGCCAAAACCTCAGCATCTTCTGTCCTTCCCTGTTCCCTTCACTTTTCTTACCCTCTGACCCACCTCTAAAAGCCAACTTACATGTGTGCGTGTGTGAACAAGGTGTGTGTGTGTGTGAGTGAGTGTGAAAGAGAGAGTGTCCATGCACATGCGCACACATGAGGGTTAATCACTCCTCGCCTAGGGCTGCTCACTCCAGATGTCTCTCTTGCCTGGGTCTCCTTGCTTTGGGGTCCTGACTGAGGAAGGTGTTCAGGGGCCAGAGTCAGGGCTAAGGATGCCTTCTCTCACCTGGCCAGACTCTGACTCACCTACCTCAGCCGGAGTGAGGGATTCCCCTCAAACTCAATCATGTGGTACCCCATACCCCACACCAGACTCTGACCCCACCCAAGCACTGACTCCTAGGGCTGGATTGAGGGGAACAGGCATTTGCTGAAACTTGAAAAATAACAGGAAAAAAAAATGTACCTGGTACTTTTTTTAGAAGAAAAAAAAAAAGAATAAACTCTTGTTTGGAAACTTGAACTAAGCCCTATTTTCTGTTGGGGTGTCGATGGAAAAGAGGATAAAGAGCCTAACAGGAGCTGGAACTCTGCCCTTCATTTCATGAGATGTGGCATGAAATCGGGGGCTGGGCCCTGAGGATGCTTGGAGGCCAAGTTTGCTCTTTTTAGGTAATGAGATGGAGTGGTAGGAAAGGGATGTGGTTGGGTCAACCAGAGAAACTGGCCTCTCTGAGTATAGATCTGGATTCTTCTACTGATTCTGTTTATGACTTTAGTCTCTCAGAGCTTCAGTGCCCTCATACGTAAAGTGAGGGTGAATAGGCAAGCCTCGTGAAGGATGTGCCAGAGCTACTAAAAAGCAAAGATAATCAGTTGAGGACTAAGGTGCACCAAGGCATGTTCTTTTCCATCACTCCTAGAGTCCTGGTGTGGTGCTGTGAACTAATGCGTCAAGACTGCAAAGTGTTTGAACTGTAAGGTTGGTAGTTCAAGCTCACCAGCTGCTCCTTGGAAACCCTATACAGGGTCACTATGGGCCGGAACCAACTGGACGGCACTTAACAACATATACATGTGAAAATGGGACGTTGAATAAGGAAGAATATTAAAAGTACCATGGAATGCCATTGGTGGTGGTGTGCCGTGGAGTCGATACTGACTCATAGCCACCCTGCATAGGGTTTTCAAGGCTGTAAATCCTTATGGGAGCAGAAAGCCTCTTCTTTCTCCCATGGAACTGCTGGTAGTTTCGAACTGCTGGCCTTGAGGTTAGCAGCCTGACATGTAACCACAAGTTTGTCTTGGAAAAAGTGCAGTCCGAATGCTCCTTAGAAGCACTGGAAAGACTTTGTTGTACTTGGGACATGTTATCAAAAGGGACCAGTCCCTGGAGAAGGACTTCATACTTGGTAAAGTGCAGAGTCAGCAAAAAAGGGGAAGACTGAATTGACGTAATGGCAGCAACAATGGGCTAAATTGTAACAATTGTGAAGATGGTGCAGGAAGCAGTGTTTTGTTCTGCTGTACACAGGGTCATAATGAGTCAGAACCCGCTCCATAGCATCTGACAAGAAGGCAGGCCTTTTCCAAGATGTGCCAAAGCATCAGGGCTGTGTGCAGAATGGCATGCTCTAAGTAAGGCTGGACACTGGGGCTATGTGCAAGTGGACCAGACCTGACAGACCCTGATGGAGAAGATGTGGAAAGGGCTATGGTGCCTTGGGAAAGGAGAAAAGTCTCAGTACAATCACCAGGCAATGCAAGGACCAATCACCATGGCAACTGGAATGGGGTCAGTCCCCAGTGGGAGGGCTGGGTAGAGCACAGCAGGACTACTCGAGAATGTCACTATAGCAACCATGGCAACGAGTCAGCCCCAGTCCTCTGGTCACTATGGTGACAGATGGGGTAATCATATGCTCAGGAGCGTAAACTCTGCCGTGGGTGAGGGTAAATAACACGTTGGAGGAGATTTGGGGTCAAGTGCCGATAGGAAATAGACTCTATTTAGTCACCGTGCCCAAGATCGTAGGCACAAACAAGCTCCAATCTTAGTCTCTTTAAGGTCTGTCTGCCTTTCCCAGATAACAACTTGATGCTCTTATTGCCAAGTAACTCTATAATTGGCTGGATGTTGAATGGGGGAAGGGAGGACCAAAACTACTTCCGGGGCCGGGACTGCAGAAGGAAAGACTCGGTAGTGGGACCGCTCTGCTCCGTGTCTCGTTAGTTCCGGAGGTCTCTGTGGCCGTGGGAAATGCTGGCGCGCGCGGCGCGGGGAACTGGAGGGCTTTTACTGAGGGTGAGAGAGCAAGGTTACCGTCTTCATGGAATTGAATCAGAGATCATTTGGGTGCCCAGTTGGAAAAGTGTGAGATTCTGAGTTTGGGGAGAGACTGGGGTCAGAGATCATGGTTCTCCCACGTGAATCCCGTTCCGAGGACCCCTGAGAGTCGAGACTTGGGGAATGCCTCGCTGGCAGGCGTCGTAGGGGACGGAAGCCCTGCTGACTGGGGTTTCTGCTTACCCTTGTCTTCCCTTTAGGGCTCTGTGCAGGCTCCTGGCTGTGCTCCGCGCCGTGCCTCCTCCGGATTGCCCCGAAACACCGTGATACTGTTTGTGCCGCAGCAGGAGGCTTGGGTGGTGGAGCGAATGGGCCGATTCCACCGGATCCTGGATCCTGTGAGAGCTTCTTTAGCCCACCCCGGGCCAATCTGTTACCCAATTCCCTCGGGGCGGGGGACATGGAGACCTCTTTCCTGATCCGGCCCACCCCTGTGATTCCCAGGGAACTCCCCAGGCCAGACCTGGGAAGGGTACAGATAAACGTGTGGCTACCTTTTCCTATTCCACAGACCCCATTCCTGGGACTCTCCCTACTCATCCCCACAGCTCTAACCATTTACTTAGAGAGTTTTACTTTGCTGGCTCCAATTCTCATGAGATTCCCCTCCAATCAGAGGCCTAGCCTCACATTCCTATCCTCTTGGGTTTCCTTGATGGTGACAACCCCAACCCACTTTAGGCTTAGTCCCCAGCCCCCATCCTTCTGAGAAGCCATGACTCCTCTTCCTAGGGCTTGAACATCCTCGTTCCTGTGTTAGACCGGATACGATATGTGCAGAGTCTCAAGGAGATTGTCATCAACGTGCCAGAGCAGTCAGCCGTGACTCTTGGTGAGGGGCTTAGGGTGACACAGGTACTCTGAGACCATTAGGATGTAGTTGCTGGATATCCAGTGCTTGGAAGAGAAAACTAGTTGGACTCAGAGGCCTGACCTTCCCCCATTCTTTCCTACTCCTGTAGACAACGTGACTCTGCAGATTGATGGGGTCCTATACCTCCGAATCATGGACCCTTACAAGGTACCTTACCTCTTGTTTTATTCTTCCTTCTGAGTCACCCTCCTCACTAAAACCCTGTACCCAAGCTTCTTACACTCTCCATGCCCCTCTCAGGCAAGCTATGGTGTAGAAGATCCTGAGTATGCAGTCACCCAGCTAGCTCAGACGACCATGAGATCAGAACTGGGAAAACTCTCCTTGGACAAAGTCTTTCGGGTAAGGGGACCAGAGCCAGAGTTAGTTTGAAGACATGTGCCCAGCGATCAGTCCTCCTGAGGGTCAGGATCAGTCCAAGGCCCTTCTCACTTTAGGCTCCTAAGTGGTGAATTTAGGCCATGGAACTTCTACCTCTCTTCTTGTAGGAGCGGGAGTCCCTGAATGCCAACATTGTGGATGCCATCAACCAGGCTGCCGACTGCTGGGGCATCCGCTGCCTCCGTTATGAAATCAAGGATATCCATGTGCCTCCCCGGGTGAAAGAGTCCATGCAGATGCAGGTGGGGGTCACGGAGGGGTGGAGAAGACGGCTCTAGGGTTCTCCAGCCCCAGAAGGACCATGATTCCCTTCCCTATTGTGATGGGTAAAGTTATAAGTCTATATAAGAGTTCCCCCTGGCTTCTTGTTGACTGAGTTGCTGGGGGCTTCCAGGTGGAGGCAGAGCGTCGGAAACGGGCCACAGTTCTAGAATCTGAGGGAACCCGAGAGTCAGCCATCAACGTGGCAGAGGGCAAGAAGCAAGCCCAGATCCTGGCCTCCGAGGCAGAAAAGGCTGAGCAAATAAATCAGGCAGCAGGTCAGCAGTGTAGAGGCTGAGGGAGGAGCAAGGCATGGGTCTTTGAGGCTTGATGCTGGGCTAGGAACTTTGGGGTATTGACCTCTGTCTCTTTTCCAGGAGAGGCCAGTGCGGTTCTGGCCAAGGCCAAGGCCAAGGCTGAAGCTATTCGCATCCTGGCTGCAGCTCTGACACAACATGTGAGCGGCCCTTAGATGGGTATAGGGGACAAAATTGACAGTCAACCATTCAACCTCATTCAACCTTAGGGGAAGTTCCTGCCTTTGTGAACCCCATTGACCCAGATGATACAAGTTTTGTCTTGTGTCCCATCAGCCCTTTCCCCAGGAACCTGATCTCCCTTCCCCTCCCCTTCCCTTCCCTTCCCCCTTTCCAGGTCTGTGATTTCTGACTTTATCCCCTCCTGTGACTACAGAATGGAGATGCAGCAGCCTCACTGACTGTGGCTGAGCAGTACGTCAGCGCATTTTCCAAACTGGCCAAGGACTCCAACACCATCCTGTTGCCCTCCAATCCCAGTGATGTCACCAGTATGGTGGCCCAGGTTAGAGTTCCCTGAGGACTAGGCACAAGTCACTGATGCCAGGGTCAAAGATACTGCTCACAGCCATAGAGGCCTTCGGAATGAAGAACAATCTCATGATCCTCAGCCCGTCTCCATCTTTTCAGCCAATAGTGGGTTGGGCTTTACCCTCTGCCAGGTGTTCTCACAGCACTTTCTCTTCCCTCGCAGGCTATGGGTGTTTATGGAGCCCTCACCAAAGCACCAGTGCCGGGGACCCAGGACCCAGTTTCCAGTGGGAGCAGCAGAGCCGTCCAGGGCACCGATGCAAGTCTCGATGAGGAATTCGATCGAGTCAAGCTGAGTTAGTGGAGCTAGGCTTGGTCAGGGAGGCTGGGGAACCAGGAGATGGCACCCCCAGACTTTGGCTTTGGCCTCCCTGCTGAAATTTTGGTTTTTATTTTTTTATTTGAACTTTAATCATGTAATAAAGTCACCATGTCAAACTAGGAAAACTCTCCTTTTTGACTGGGAAGTGAAGTTTGGAAAGTCACCACCAGCATTCTCCTTGATTGTCCATCCCACTGTCCGGCTCTGTCAGGGCGTGGAAGCTGATGCCTTCATGAGCAACAATGTACTTCATAAAAGTGAAATCATCCTGGTCTGTCTTCAGGAGAAGCGGTGGGATAGGGTGGAAGGATTGAACCTCTTGTCTACTCAACTGCCAACTGAAAAGTGTAGTCCTCCTACTATGGGAAGTGGGGTGTGTATTTGAGGCTGGTGGCTAAGGGTTTTTTTGTTTTTGTTTTTTTCATGAGAGGGTGGACTGCTTTGGCAGGATAGTTTTTATACTGAATGCTCATAGAGTCTTCAGGGGCCGAGGACCCTTCTTATTCATTCATTGAAAAGCATTTAATGACGCTTAGCTTGTTTCTGGAGTCCTGGTGTGGTGCTGCTGGTTAATGTGCTGGACTGCAAAGTCGGTTTGAACTGCAATGTTGGCGGTTCAAGCTCACCAGGTGTTCCTTGGAAACCCTACACAGGGTCGCTATGGGTCAGAACCAACTCGACGGCACTTAACAACAACAAAGCATGTTTCTTGTGTGCTGTAGGATAAGCACTGTACTGCTAACTGGTCACTCTGCGTCAGATCTGACTTTACGACCAAAACCCAGTGCTAGACATGGGAGTAACAAAGTGGTCCTGCTTTCATGAAATACAAGGCTAGGTAGGGTAGACAAACAATTCTGAGGGCTCCTGGGAAGAGAAACATGTCTATATTTTTGGGCAGCAAGGTTATTTGGTTATTTGAACATTGGCTGGAAGAAGTAGAATGTGCAAAGGCCCAGCACTTGAGAAATACACAGAGACTTCAAAAATTTTGTGGAAAAATTCCATTTTTCCACCAACTTTCTGAAGCCTCTTATTGACACATTTGATGATCTGTGCTGAAGGTTGGGTTGTGAGAGGGAGAAGGATTTGGACTTTATCATTAGAGTAATGGGGAACCACGGAGGTTTCTTTTACCTTCTGGGTAGAAAAGTCACATTTATATGTCAAATGGAACTTGACTGCTGTAGTGTGAAAGAATTTGAAAGCAGCAGCTGGGAGGATAGAAAGACTGGCTCAGTGACTGGAGAGTATGAGGCAGTCTGAACTGAGGTGACAAGCTGTGGGCTGAAGATGGAGGCATGAGTCAACATTATTTCTCAATTAGAATTTATTCACTTACCCATCCAATAAATATTTTTGAATTCTAATTATCTACCAGGTAATAAAAATTATTTGCCTTCAGTGAGCTTATATTGTATTTCAAAGGGACAATCAGATAAGTATTTCAGATGCTGATGTGTTAGGCTATGGAGGGAATTAAAGGAGAGGTGGGGACTGTGATTTTAAATACAGGGTTCTAGGAAACTTTGCTGATACTACATTTGAGCCTAAAGATGAAGGAGGTCTGAGTCTGGTGTGACACCCTAGGATAAGCACTCGCCCTCAAGGCTGGTTTCAATTACAAGGTCAGTGGTTCAAACTCACCAGCCACTTTTCAGAAACTCTATTTAGGGTCACTATGAGTCAGAACCAACTCAACAGTACTTATAACAACATGAAGGAGAAATACACTTGAGTCTCAGAGAATCTGAGCAAGGATTGCAAATGCAAAGACCCTGAGGCAGAAAACATGCCTGGCTCATAACTGGAGGAGCAAAGGAGATTCTGTGGATGAAGTAGTTAAGTAGTTTGGAGCTAGATGAATCAAAGAGGGAAGTGAGCAATCCGCAATCAAGAGAGCTAGTGTGTAGACATGTAGGGCCGCTGTAAGAATACTGAGATGAGAAACCAGTGGAAAGGTTTTGTTTTTAATTACAGCTTTATTGAGATGCCTGGTGAGCTGCTTCCAAAAAGTCATAATTACAATTATGTAAACTCTAGAGAGTACAGTTTTACTTTGGAACACATGGGATTTCCAACACGTGAGTTAGAATCGACTCACAAGCCACTGGTCTGGTTTACTAAAATATAATTCCCATACCATACAATTCTCTCAAGTGTAAATCCTCTTGAGTATATTCGGAGTTGTGCTAGCATCACAATTTTACAGCATATTCATTACTCTCCTCCCCTTAAGGAAAAAAAAAAACCTGTATCCTAGACCTCAGCAATCACTAATTTACTTTTTTTCTATAGATTTATATTTTCATACAAGAATCATGATATGTGGTCTTTTATGACTGACTTCTTGTACTTAATATAATGCTTTCAAGGTGCATTCATGTTGTAGCATGTGTCAGTACTTCATTCCTCTTTATAGTTGAATAATACTTGATGTATGGAAATATAAGGAGTCCTAGTGGTGTAGTGGGTTATGGTTGGACTGCTAGCCACAAGGTCAACAGTAGGAGAAAGATGAGGCTGTCTGCTCTTGTAAAGATTTATAGCCTAGAAACTGATGGAGCACTTCCAGTATGCCCTATAGGGGGCTATAAGTTGGAATCACCTCCATGGCAGTGGTGAGTGGTGGTGGTATGCCACATTTTATCTATTTATATGTTTATTTGTTTCACCTTTTAGTTCTTTTTTTTAAATGTTTTGTTGTGAATTATGTGATAGTTTACATGGGAGAACCTTAGTTTTACATTCATCCTTTCGTGTATCATTTCATTGCCATGGTACAATCCCTTCCATGCATCATCAACCAACCAAAGGGTATACACTACAAGCCAGCTCCCCCGCGCCCCCGCCATCAGCATACAGCCCCTCTCCTTCTCTGTGTCTAAAGTCCCCAGCTGCTCCATCTCTCCACATCATCGTCTGTCTCTGCCTCCATCTCAGAGATCACTGCTTCTCTGGGTAGGGTCCTGATCTCTGCTCTTCTCCCTTGATGGTCCCAGGGACCTCTGCCCCTAGACTGAAAAGTTAATCACTCCTTTCCTTGCTACAAAATGCCTACCTTTACATTTCCAACCCTCACAAGCAGTCCTGATAACAATTATTCACTATTGTATCACAAGAGACCCATCAGCATTTCATTTAATCAGCCCGCCTAGACAGATTGGATACTACTCAGTGGAGATTCTACTTTCCTTCATGCCCTTTGGATCTAGGTTCCCTCTTGAAAGCTTGTAAGCCAGTCACTTCTTGCCTTTGTAGCCCACCCCCCACCCCCCCATTTTGGGTAGCCAATGTCCAAGTTGCCCATCCCTGTCTACTCTGTATGGAGTGGGGTGGGAATGATCCTTGCTGTAAAGATTTGTTCCCGCTCACCTTTTAGTTCTTATAAATAATACTGGCATGAACATCCATTTGTAAGTTTTTGCTTGGATGGGTTTCATTCCTGTTGAATCGCTGGGCCATATGGTAACTTTAGCGTCCTGGTGTGGTGGTGTGAGTTAATGCGCTGGACTGCAAAGTTGGTTTTGAACCACAAGGTCAGTGGTTCAAGCTCACCAGCTGCTCCACCAAAACATAAATGGTAACTTTATGTTTAACATTTTGAGAAACTGTATTCCAAAGCAATTGTACCATTTTATATTCCTACCAGCAGTGTATGATGGTTCAAATTTCTTCATTCTCGTCAATACTTTTTTATTCTAACCATTCTAATGGATTGGAAATGGTTATCAACAACATTTTATTTTGGCTAATTGGGCATTTGATCGAGTCCTGGTGTGGAGCTGTAGGATAAGTACTCGACTGCTAACTAATAGGATTGTTTAAACCCACCAGCCGCTCCTCAGAAACATGGTTTCTATGAGTTGGAACCAACTGGAAGGAATTTAACAGCACTGGGCATTTGTATAGTTTTCTTTGGCAAAATGTCTATTCAAATGCTTTGCTCATTTTTTAATTGGGTCATTTGTGTTTTTATTATTGAGTAAGGCTCAAAGGTTTTGAGAGGAAGAATAATCAAATCCATTTGTAGAAATCAGCTAAACCAAAGGGGGGAAATAGGGACTACCTATCACCAGTTTTTGGAGTTCAGGTGTGGCACTGTGGGTTAATGCGCTGGACTGCAAGTCGGTTTGTAACCGCAAGGTTGACGGCTCAAGCTCCTTGGAAACCCTATACAGAGTGGCTATGGGTCGGAATTGACTTGACGGCATTAACAACAAATCACCATTTTACAGATTAAGAACCAGAGACCCCCCCTTACTGCCAAAGAGTGAGTGACGGAGCTAAAATTCAAGCCAAGTTTGATTCTGGAGGTTTTGCTCTTAGTATTAAGCGTGAGTGGAGACTGGTTCCCTGTATTCTAGTTTAGTTTCTTGGCCCTCAAATCTCTAATTTACCATAATCTCCCATTCAATCCTCGACTTCGTGCCAACCTCGGAGGCGCCGGTAGATGGCGATGAGGTCCCCGGCGGGCCACTCTGTCCAGCCCGCGCACGTACCTCTGTGATGCCCGGGCCCTGGCTCCTTCGCATTTCCGGGCGCCGATCCAGGTGAGCCAGGGTCTCCCAAGAAACTCCAGACTTCTCAACCTTGAAATGTGGGATCACCTCCAATCCGCACAGTTTGAGGTGCTCAGGCAAAGCTCAGGTAGCCGCTCGAGGAGGCACAGCTGTCTAGACCCCTGGGTTCCTGCAAGGCACAACAGGCTCAAAGCCCGGCGCTCCTGCCCGGTTTCATGGGAACCCAGCCGATGTCGTGCCTCTTAAGTCTCCTAGAGACCCTGGCAGTCTACAAGTGGAGCATGACTCCTCCCCTTGGTTCCCTCAGCCCCCGCCAGGCGGCGCCCTCTCGGGTTTTCTAGCGACTGGGAACCTTGACGGTCCATGGGGGCGTCGAGATTGGTGAAAAGAGAGCCTGAGAGACTAGTGGAGCGAAGTCAGCTCTTGGTCGACCACTTGAAATTCAAGTTTGGCTCTTGGGCTGTGTTTTTCAGCATTACAATCATCTGGAGTACATGTGCAAACTCCTATGCTTTACAACCAAAGATCCAGATTCAGTAGATCTGGGGTGGGCCCTAGAAACACTCACCGGTTGATACTGGTAATCTGTGGACCTCACCTTCAGATACACTAGTAGAACTAGTTGAAAAGAATATTGCATCGGGTTGGCTCTAGGTCTGTTTGTCTTCTAGGTGGCCTTTGAATTGAGGGACTGGACTATCCACTGATTTCTCTCCCCACCCCTACCCTCTAGTGATGAATTTCCTCCCCCACCCCCAACAGAATGCAGAAGGTCTTAGTGCTACTCTTCCTGGCCTGGATCTGCTTCCTGTTCTATGCTGGCATTGCCCTCTTCACCAGTGGCTTCCTGCTCACTCGTCTGGAGCTCACCAACTATAGCAGCTGCCAAGAACCGCCAGGCCCTGGACCTCTGCCCTGGGGTGGCCGAGGGGAGTCAGGGGCCTGTTGGATGGCTTCACGTTTCTCCCGGGTTGTGTTGGTGTTGATAGATGCTCTGCGTTTTGACTTTGCCCAGCCCCAAGGCTCACACGTGCCTGGGGAACCTCCGGTATCCCTGCCTTTCCTGGGCAAACTGGGCTCCTTGCAGAGGATTCTGGAGATTCAGCCCCACCATGCCCGACTCTACAGATCTCAGGTAGACCCTCCCACCACCACCATGCAGCGCCTCAAGGCCCTCACCACTGGCTCACTGCCTACCTTTATCGATGCTGGCAGTAATTTTGCCAGCCACTCCATAGTGGAAGACAATCTCATTAAGCAACTCACCAGTGCAGGTTAGTCTGGGCCCCTTTGGAGGCCAGGAGTATCTTGTCTGATTCCTTCTCTAGTCATAAGAGTGCTAGGACTTTGGGTGCCCATCTGTATGTTTGACCATTGTGAGGGAGACAGGAGGAGAAAGGGACCAGAGCTCTCATTTGGGGGGATAAAGGAGAGGGGATCTGGACATCGTTCTAATGGAGCTTCTGATCTGCATAGAGTATTGGTTTAACTCTTGGGAAACTCAGTAGAGTGAAAGGGAGAGGGGTAGAAGAGTAGATATGAATCTGGTACCCTTGCAAGCTTGAAGGAGAGAGTAGAGGGAGCTAGGCTTTGTCCACAGGTAGTTATTGATGGGAAAAGCAGGAGACACCTGAATAAAGCCAAGATACCCAGGGACTAGGAGAGAACTAACAGTATTTTAAAGGAACACGGAGTGAGAGGTCTAGTTAGAGTATGGTTATCAGGGGGAAGTTTGCTGACGGAAAAATTCAGGCCTTGAATTATGAAGAGTTACTGGGTGCAATTGCTACGATTTAGGTGTCTGGTTGGGATTTCTGATGGATCTTTAAAAAGCCTCCTTTCTTTTTCCCTGCCTTGAATTCCTCATGTTTCTGCAGGAAGGCGTCTGGTCTTCATGGGAGATGATACTTGGAAAGACCTTTTCCCTGGAGCTTTCTCCCAAGCTTTCTTCTTCCCATCCTTTAATGTCCGAGACCTGCACACAGTGGACAATGGCATCCTGGAACACCTCTACCCCACCAGTGAGCACAGGGCCAGAGGCAGACCTGACAAAGTTTGGGGAGGGCTACTTCAGTTCACAAATTCTGAACCTACCATTGGTACAAGGGTCTGGGATTTCGCCCTTGGACATAAGGGAATTGTCAAAGCCTGCTTGGGGTTGAGACGTAGACCTACGTCCCCTGTGCTCAATGTTGTCTACTCCACAGTGGAGAATGGAGAATGGGACGTGCTGATTGCTCACTTCCTGGGTGTGGATCACTGTGGCCACAAGCATGGCCCTCACCATCCTGAGATGGCCAAGAAACTTAGCCAAATGGACCAGGTGATACAGTGAGTGTGGGGTACTGGCTGGAGGAGTGGATTTATGTCTGAGAACCTCAGCGTATATGGCCCCAGGAGAAAAAGTCCTTATCTTGGAGTCTTTTTCTTTTTAAATTTAGACTCAGTTCAAATCCTTGCCACATTTCTTGATCCCCAGGGGCCTTGTGGAACGTCTGGAGAATGACACACTGCTTGTGGTGGCTGGGGACCATGGAATGACCATGAATGGGGACCACGGAGGGGACAGCGAACTGGAGGTCTCAGCTGCGCTCTTTCTGTACAGTCCCACAGCCCTCTTCCCCAGTGTCCTGCCAGAGGTGAGGCCTGGCTAACCCTTGTCTAATCTCATCAGTTGCTTGGTGTTTAGCTTTCATCATGATTACGGAATTCTCATGAATTCTTCATTGTAGAACCCCCAATTCATGATTCTGGGCATCCCCTACTCTTGTTTACTGTGTTGACTCCAGTGCTTTCCATCCCAAACACTGACTTCAGCTCTACTGTGACCTTTGACTCTCTGCTTTCACTCTAGGAGCCGGAGGTAGTTCCTCAAATCAGCCTTGTGCCCACGCTGGCCCTACTGCTGGGCCTGCCCATTCCATTTGCGAACATCGGGGAGGTGATGACTGAAGCGTTTTCAGGGAACAAGGACTCCCAACCGCACTCCTCTGCTCTGGCCCAAGCCTCGGCTCTCCATCTCAATGCTCAGCAGGTAAGTAAGGGGCTGGACTTCTAGGTGAGGGAGCTAATGAGGGCATATGGGAAGAACAACAGCCAATCCATTGTCCTTAGGCCAATCTTAATCCCACCTTCTCTTAGCCATGTTCTCTTCTCATCATCCATTTCTTCTGCCATCCCAGTTGACTTCCCCCCTTTTTTAGTATCTATCCTTGCTTCTATACCAACTCCTATGTCTTGACCTTTCCTACCAGGTGTCCCGATTTCTTCACACCTACTCAGCTGCTACTCAGGACCTCCAAGTTAAGGAGCTTCAGCGGCTGCAGAGCCTCTTCTCCAAGGCCTCTGCTGACTTCCATCGGCTTCTGCAGAACCCCCAGGGGGCGGAGACAACCCTGCAGGCTGTGATAGCTGAGCTACAACAGTTTCTGCGGGGTGCTCGGGCCATGTGCATTGAGTCTTGGGCTCAGTTTTCTCTGGTCCGCATGGCAGTGGGTGCCACTCTTTTGGCTGCTGCCTGCTTTCTTTGCCTGCTGGCGTCCCAGTGGGCCATATCCCCAGGCTTCCCTTTCCGCCCTCTACTCCTGGTACCTGTGGCTTGGGGTCTGGCTGGGGCCATAGTGTATACTGGACTCCTGGCAACTACTGGACTGAAACTGGATCCAGTGGTCCTAGGGGCTGTGGCTGCAGTGGGCTCGCTCCTGTCTTTTCTATGGAAAGCCTGGGCTGGCTGGGGGACCAGGAGGCCCCTGGCAGCCCTGCTTCCCATCCCTGGGCCTGTCTTTATTCTTTTGCTCCTTCGGTGGGCTGCCTTCTTCTCTGATAGCTTTGTTATAGCTGAGGCCAGGGCCACCCCCTTCCTTTTGGGCTCACTTGTCTTGCTCCTGGTTGCTCAGCTTCATTGGGAGGGCCAACTGCTACCACCTAAGCTGCTGGCAGTACCCCGTCTTGGCCCTTCTACCCCAGCAGGTCCCCCACGGCACAGTAGCATGCATACCTTGGGGCTTGGTGTGGGGTTGCTTTTATGTACAAGGCTAGCTGGACTCTTCCATCGCTGCCCTGAAGAGACACCTGCTTGCCGCTCCTCTCCCTGGCTGAGTCCTCTGGCATCCATGGTGGGCGGTCGAGCCAAGAATTTGTGGTACGGAGCTTGTGTGGGGGCTCTATTTGCTCTGTTAGCTGCTGTGCGCCTGTGGCTTCGCCGCTATGGTAATCTCAAAAGCCCCGAGCCCCCTGTGCTCTTTGTACGCTGGGGGCTGCCCCTCATGGCTCTGGGCACTGCTGCCTACTGGGCCTTGGCGTCGGGGGCAGATGAAGCCCCCCCACGTCTCCGAGCTCTGGTTGCTGGAGCATCAGTTGTGCTGCCTCGGGCCGTGGCAGGGCTGGCTGCTTCCGGGCTCATGCTGCTGCTCTGGAAGCCTGTGACGGTGCTGATGAAGGCTGGGGCGAATGCCCCAAGGACCAGGACTGTCCTCACTCCCTTCTCAGGGCCCCCTGCGTCTCAGGCTGACCTGGATTATGTGGTCCCTCAAATCTACCGACACATGCAGGAAATGTTCCGGGGCCAGCTAGTGAGAACCAGTTCTCAGGGCCCCCTGACTGTGGCTGCTTATCAGTTGGGGAGCGTCTACTCGGCTGCTGTGGTCACAGCCCTCACCTTGTTGACCTTTCCACTTCTGCTATTGCATGCAGAGCGCATCAGCCTTGTGTTCCTGCTTCTGTTTCTGCAGAGCTTCCTTCTCCTGCATCTGCTTGCTGCTGGGATACCCATCACCACTCCTGGTAAATACATATCTCAGCCCTGATTAATCCAAGGACAACAATGCTAATGATGGGAATTCAGCATATCTCGCTTTCAGGGAGGTGGAATTTCCCCTTGACACAGGATCTTAAGCCCCATACAGTTGGGAAGTTCTTCCTAATGTACTCTTCTCGTCTGCTGTAACCAAGTTCATTGATCACTTCTGCTGACTCCCAGGGCTAGCAGGGCTCATGAGGGAGGGAGACAAGGAGTCCTCCAAGACTCATTTTTTTATGGTGATGCTGCATCCCAATAGGGCATTTCCTGATTCCCAGTGATGAGATGGGTGGGTTATGAGTATAATGAACGGCATGCCCACCCATGGCCGTCAAGTTGATTCTGACTCAGTGACCCTGTAAGGAAGAGTAGAACTGCTCCTTAGGATTTTAAGACTGTAAATCTTTACAGGACCAGATAGCCTCGTCTTTCTGCGAATGGCTGGTGGGTTTGAACCACTGACCTTGCTGTTAGCAGCCCAACACTTAACCACTGCACTACCAGGGTTCCTTAATTCCTTAATGAAGAGCATATTCTTAAGTGCTATGGAGTTGGTTCTGACTCACAACAACCCTGTCTAAGGTTTCCAAGCTAAATCTTTTGGGGAACAGAAAGCCTCATCTTTCACAGATCAGCTGGTGGGCTTGAGTCGCTGATCTGGCAGGGCTGGCTGCATCTGATTAGCAGCAGTCCAGTGCTTATCCTACAGAACCATGTTGTTGTTAAGTCGCTTCTGACTCATAGGGTTTCCAAGGAGTGACTGGTGAATTTGAACCACTGACTGTGTGGTTCAAACCGTTCTTGCAATCCAGTACTTTTCCCACAGTGCCACACCAGGACTCCAGCCATAGCATTCCCTTAATGACTGGCATAGGGAGCTGTTTATAAATGAGAAAGAGAGACTGATCACGGTGGGCCTTAGAGATTCATGTTTGGGTAATGGGGTTTTGTGCCACAGAGGGAATTAGAATAACAGAGTGGGGACTGTATGTGTGTGAGAGTTAACACTGTGCGGGGATCATAGAGCACTAGGCTGTGGATTGAGGAATGGATGTGACTATAAGGAGGCCTATTTCTTCCCCTAGGTCCTTTTACTGTGCCATGGCAGGCAGTTTCTGCTTGGGCCCTTATGGCCACACAGACCTTCTACTCCACGGGCCACCAACCTGTCTTTCCAGCCATCCATTGGCATGCAGCCTTTGTAGGATTCCCAGAGGGTCATGGCTCCTCCACCTGGCTGCCTGCTTTGCTGGTGGGAGCCAACACATTTGCCTCCCACCTCCTTTTTTCAGGTACTTCCTTGTCCCTCCCTCACTCCCATTGCTTACTCTGACTTTGTGGAAGGAAGGTACACCCATGGATTTGAATGAGAAGATAAGGTTTTGATGGATCTTTGACACCCGTTGACCTAAGCTGACTTGCAACTGAGTCAACCAGGGTAGTTGGGAATCAGGGTATAGTGGGCCCTGAGACCTTCATTAACTATACCTGTCCTCCCCTGAGGCAGTAGGTTGCCCATTGCTCTTGCTCTGGCCCTTCCTATGTGAGAGCCAAGGTCCCCGGAAGAAACGGCAGACCCCAGGGAATGAAGCTGAGGCCAGAATCAGGCCCAAGGAGGAGGAAGAGGAGCCTTTGATGGAGATGCGGCTCCGAGATGCCCCTCACCACTTCAGTGCAGCATTGCTTCAGCTGGGCCTCAAATACCTCTTTGTCCTTGGTGTTCAGGTGGGTGCAGAGAAGATATCACAGAATCAGTGACCTTTGTTCATGTGTGTGCATCATAGTCTCTCTCTTGTGCTTTGTTAAAATCCTGGGAAGGAGGCTTGACTGAGGGACACATAAGTGAAGTGATTGCCCAAGGCTGTCAGACTCCATCGGCAATATTGAGATCACTTAGCTCTTCTGAATTATAGTCCTTGGTTATTTCCTCCCCACAGCCTACATCTGTACTCTGTTGGTTACATTTGAGGATTGCTTCATTAGTGCACAGACTGGAAAAATGGGTGATGGCCAAAATTCTTTTCTACACTGTGGTCATGAATCCTATCCTCCAGAGACAGAAGGTGGTGCTGACATCATCCTCTACTTTGGGAGGCAGAACCTGAGTGTTAGCATCACAGACTGATAGTAACTTACCTAAGGTTACACAATGAGTCACTCAGTGGTTGGACCAGGATGAGAATTGGGTTCCTAACTCTTAGCACAGGGCTTTTACTATTGGCACTCACTGCTTTTTTCCTTCTGTTCTTCACAGATTGACAGCAACCCTTCTTTGCCCCGTATCCTCCCCTTCTCAAGTAACTTGGCTCCTCCTCTCCTCCCATAGATTCTGGCTTGTGCTTTGGCAGCCTCCATTCTCCGCAGACATCTCATGGTCTGGAAGGTGTTTGCCCCCAAGTGAGTGGATTTGCTTAAGAAGTAAAGGTGGCTGGCAGGGGAAGGAGAAGCTTGGAAAAAGTGTGAATATTCAGAATGGACAGTGTTTTGCTTCTGCAGTCAAGAGACTTTAGATCTGCCTTCAATATCCCCTGAGATTCTCCACCTTTCTTTGCAGGTTTATTTTTGAGGCTGTGGGCTTCATTGTGAGCAGCGTGGGACTTATCCTGGGCATAGCTCTGGTGATGCGAGTGGATGGTGCTGTGAGCTCCTGGTTCAAACACCTAGTTCTGACTCAGCAGAGGTAGCTGAGGCTGCAGGCCACTGAAAAAAAGAACAATGTAGCCTGGCCAGTGTAGGTGCTGGATCATCTGCAAGAGATGCTTGGCTACACCTTTTACCACAATGCAGCCAGAGGCTGCTAGCATCCAGGACTTTGGTGTTTTTAAATTCAAACTCCCAGTGGATCCTCATCTCTGACTCCTGCCTTAGATGCATGTGAGAGACTGAGAGGTGATCTCCAAAGTGGAATAAAAGAACTACATATATACAGTGTCTGAGATGTGGGGGCACCCCCAATATTCTAGGGGTTGAGGGAGAGCAAGCCTCCCCTCCTACCAAGCATAGTCATCTTGTCCAGGCCTAGCTACACCTGAGAACCTCTGGAAAGTGGTTGGAGTTGTCTGAATTCACTGCCCCCATCTCTTCCCAAATCACTCCTATTAGCTCACATTCCATTTTCCATATAACACGTTTATTTATTAAGTCCTTGTGTTTTGACTGATAACAGAACTATGAGGAAAGCTAAAAAAGACAAGCCCTCAGACTTAGGGGAAAGACTGTTTATTATGCAGTGATGGATTAATAAGGAAGGTTTCTGTGGGACCAGGCCCCACCTTAGATTTTTCTACCTTTACTCTTTTGTTAAGGAGCTCTGATAGCGTAATGGGCTGCGAACCGCAAGGTCAGCAGTTCAAAAGTACCAGCTGCATCGTGGGAGAAAGATGAGGCGTTCTGCTCCTGTAAAGATTAACAGCCTCGGAAACCCTGTGCAGGGTCGTTATGAGTCGGAACCGACTCCACGGCACATAACAACAACAACTCTTTTGTTGTCCCTTAATCCTAGTCTCAAGGACTCCTGATGTGGCACTGTTGGATAAGCACCAATTTAGGTTTTCCCTCTTGGTATGGCACTGTAGGACCAGCATTGGACTGCAAACCAAAAGTTGGCAGTTCAAACCCACTGCCTGCTCCTCAGAAACCACATACAGGGTTGCTATGAGTTGGAACCGACTTGATGGCACTTAACGACAACTGCAATCCTAGTCTCAAAAACTGGTGTTAGAATGAGCACTGGATTGCAAACCATAAGGTCAGTAGTTCAAACCCACCTGTTTCTCCTTGGAAACCCTATACAGGGTCACTGTGAGTCAGAACTGACCTGACAATACCAACAACAACAATCCAAGTCTCAACCTCTTCTAGAAGGCATCGGCATCATTATCCTAATTCCGTTCTAGATCAGTAAGACTTTGATTGTGAACTCCTTTGACTTTCTAAAGCCCACCCCACATGTGCTATGTCATTTCACTCCAGAACACCCTTTGCCTTTCTGTTGTTAGCCATCCCTAGATTCCCACCCAGTGCTGCCTTTCATTTGACCTGCTTGTCCATCTTAGGAGCCCTTATGGTGCACTGAGCTGCTAACGCAGGACTTGTTCAAAGCCACTAACTCCTCTGCAGAAGGAGATGGTGATTTAGTCTCAGAAACTCTTAAGGAACTGTTCTACTCTTGTCTTATAGGCTTGCCATGAGTCTAAATAAACTCCATGGCAATGGGTTTGATTTGTTTGGTTTCGTCCAAACAAACTTGATGTCAAAACAATTCATCTAGTGCCCTTTGTCACCCAAGGCCTGTTTCCACCCCACCACTCCTATACCGGAGCCCTGGTTTGGCGCTGTGGGTGAATGTACTGGACTGCAAAGTCGGTTTGAACCACAAGTTTGGGCATTCAAGCTTACCAGCCACTCCTTAAAAAAAATCCTATATAGAGACGCTGTGAGTTGGAACCGACTCAGTGGCACTTAACTCCTTTGCTGGTGCAGAACCACTCTTGGAGAAATCTTTGAAAGTTCAGAAGAAGCTCTGGAGAGATGGGTCAAAGCTAAGGTTTGAGGGACAGGACAGGAGTGCCCAGGACAGGAGATGAGACACTGAAAGAGAGGAGAGATTGTAGAAATTAGGATAGCACCAATTTTGAATAACCAAAGCCCGTTACCAGAGTCAATTGTGACTCTGACTCTGTAGGGTTTCCAAGGCTGTTATCAATGGGCTCAAGTGTAGCAACAATTGTGAGGTTGGCCCAGGATTGGGCAGTGTTTCGTTTTGTGCATAGGGTTGCTATGAGTCAGTACTGACTTGATGGCACCTAACAACAACAACAAATCTTTCTGGGATAGCTTTCCCTACAGTGGCTGGTAGGTTCACGCTGCTGATCTGTTAGTGGCGGGACTAACTGCTTTAACCAGGGTTCCTTATCTTTGAACAGGTAGAACAAAGAAGCTAAGTAGTGGGGACTATGAAATCAAACTATCAGTTGCTACGGCAGCTGAGGGACTAGTTCAAATGATTAATGGCCAACAGTTGTAAGTGCTGCTGAGGTCAAACAGAAAGATGAAAAGTGTGCTGTTTCAGGCAGTTAGAGGGCTGGTCATTGGTGACCCTAGTTAGTGGAAACAGTTATGCAAGAGAAGTTAGGCACTAGCTGGTTTGTAAGATGAATTTTAAAAGACCCCTTCTTATCCCCTTTTGGGGGATACAGCTTTCCATTTGGTAAGCAGGAAAAAAATACTCGTTTCCATCCCTTTTACCATGGGAAAGATTTCAGGCTCTAGCCCTCCATGCCCTCCCCTGCCACCATTTTCTTTTTTTTTTTTGGATGGGGGTGGGCAGGGACCCCCTTGCCTAGAGCTGAAGTTTATTATGCTGATCTCCCAACCACTATTACTCTCTCTTGATTATTTAGAGGAAGATAGGTTAACACACTGATTTATACTATTTAAAGTTCTTTTTAATTACATCCTTGCCTTTTATTTGACATTAAAAGCCCATTCCACATGAATTCACTGTTGTTGTTTTTAACATTTTCTTGTGCATTAAGTGAAGGTTTACAGAGCAGATCATCAGTTTTGCATTCAACAAATACACTTTGTTTCATTTCAATGGTTATAATCCCCTCGTGTAGCATCAATTATCCTGTGTCCTCCCTATGGTTCTTGTTTTCGTTCCACCTTCCTTCCCAACCTTTCTGGACTTTTCCCTTAGGTTAGTGTTGCCCTTTTGATCTTGAATGGTTGACCATTTTCTGGTGAGTATTTCTTGCTAGTGCTGTTGTCCCCCCATACCTATCTACCACATGTCTAAAAATAGAGTTACAAGGGTGAGTTCACTTCTTGGGTGACTGAGGGCCATAGTCTTGGGTTCTTCCAGTCTCTTTCAGACCAATAAGCCTAGTCTTGTAATTTTGAGTTTTGTACCACATTTTCTCCCACTCTATTGAGGACCCACTAATGGGGATCCCTTTTAGAACTGATGGTAGTGGTTGCCAGCACCATGTAGTTGTTCTAGTTTCAGGGTTATGGAGATTTATGTTCATGTGTTCCATTAGTTCACTGGACTAATTGATTTCAAGCATCTTCAGTTTTCAACATTTTCCTTTCCTCTGTACAGAGAGAGACGTTAGGTGGCTGCTTATGAGCTTCTAAGTTGCTACGCATCAAAGTAGAATGTAGAGCATTGTTTTTTGTGGCCTGTGTTATGCCAGTTGACTGTGGTGTCCCCTGAAACTATGCTCCTGAGCCCCCAGGCCCAGTAACTCATTCCCTCAAGGTGTTTGGTAATGCAAAGAGCATTTGTGAAGTACACTTTTTATAGATCATAAAACCCATTGATTGTTAATATATAATTCCATGATCATTAAGTAAGTTTGCAGAGTTCTCCGTAGCTTTTCATAACCACAATTTCATTTTTTTCCTTTTTGTAACACTTTTCTTTAGATAATTCACATACAGTCTGTCCATTCAAAGTGCAATTCAGTGGGGTGTAATATACCCACTGAGTTGTATCACCATAAGCTCAGTTGATTTTAGAGTATTTTCATCATCCTGAAAAGAAAGTCACTGTTACCCTCCAGCCTCTTCACACATCTTTATCCCCAGTTCTAGGCAGCTGCTATAGATTTGTCTATAGATTTGTTTATTCTGGACTTACATAAATGGAGTCATGTAGTAAGTGCTGTTTCGTGACTGGCTTCTTTTCATATATCATAATGTGGCAATGCTCACGTTCGAGCCTGCATTACTGCTTTTGCTGTTGTCATTAAGTGCCCTGGAGTCAGTTCTGACTCATAGCAACCCTGTATAGGGTTTCTGAGCAGTGACTGGTAAGTTTGAACCACCGACCTTGCAGTTCAAACCAACCTTGAGGTCTAGTGCATGTCATCATTTTAACCATTTCAAAGTGGTCCTTTGTACATTCACAGGGTTGTGCAACCATCACCACCCTCTCATTCCAGAACATTTTCATCACCCTAAAAAGAAACCCAGTGAGGTGCTGTAGGATAAGCACTGGACTGCTAACCTCCAGGTTGATGGTTCAAACCCATCAGCTGCTCCTCAGAAACCCTACACAGGGCCACTATTAGCTGGAACAGACTTGACAGCACTTAACAACAATAGACATTCATATAAATGGAGTTGTACGATACACATGTGACCTTTTGTGGCTAGCTACTTTCAGCCTAATGTAGCCTTACCCATGTTGTAACATGTATCAGTACTTCCATTTTGTGGCTGAATAATAATCTATTATATGGATATACCACATTTTATTTATCCAGTCAATAGTTGATGAACATTTCAGTTATTTCCCCTTTTTGGCTATTTTGAATAATAATGCTGCTATTAGCATTCTTATGTACGTTTTTGTTTGAATGTTTGTTTTTAATTATCTTGGATACCTAGAATTGTAATTGCTAGATAATATGGTAATCCTATGTTTAACTCTTTCAGAGACTGTAAGTCTGTTTTCCAAAGTGACTGTAAGTACATTCCCAGCAGCAGTGTATAAAGGTTCTAATTTCTCCAAATTCTTGTCAACCCTTATTATTACTATTATTGTCATTCTAGTTGAAACCCACTAGATAGCACTTAATCATAGTAACAACAATGGGCCTAAAGTTATATCTCATTGTGGTTTGATTTGCATTTCCCAATATTGATTTTTTTTTTTTTTTTTTTTGCTTATTGACCATATATCTATTTACTTTGGAGAAATGTCTATTCAGAATCTTTACTAAATTTTAAATTGGGTTGGGTTTTCATTCAGTTGTAGAGTGCTTTATGTATTCCAGCTACAAGTCCTTTTATCAGATGCATGATACACGAATATATTCTCCCATTAAAGCACGAAAGTATTCAAGTTTGAGAAAGTCCATTTCAGCTATTTTTTTCTTCTGTCTATATTAGTTTTGTCATA